ACAGAAAGCATAGAGAGCTTGGAGGGGAGGAGGGTTAAGCCAAGCCAGACTCAGTCTTTCTACATGAAGAATGGGCAGAAAGAAAGGAAATACCTTTTTTAGGCTTATGATCTCTCTTCCAGGAATAAGTGATATGCAAAGGTTGGGATCAGAAATGGCAAGGTACAAGATAAAAGGAATAAAAGGAATGAAAAGCAAGAGACAGGTACATTGTGGGGCACAGCAGCCAATGGGTCTTAGGAGTATGCCCAGTGGGGTACAGGGCAGAAGAGCTAATATCCTTGTGCACATGTTCCCATGTACCTAAGTGAGCTATGAGTCATGAACACTTCTCGTCCTGTCTTCTCCCTGGTATTGACTTCCCTGGGCAGATATAATATGCTCAGCTATTCCACTGGGAACTGAAACAAAAACAATGCTGCTCTTCTCTTAGTCTGGAGGGGGACAGCAGTGAGGGAAGAAAAGCTACATTTACTTAACACTTTCTGTGCTATGTCCATTTGGAACAGGTCTTTTGGATTTGTAGCAATGAACTTTGTGGGCAAGGAAAAATAATTTGGAATGTTCTACTGATTTTTTTATGAGTTGCATAAGTTTTATCAGACTAAGGGGATAACTAAACGCCCAGAAGAAGCACAGTGGCTGCCATTCTGTACCTCTACCCAATACACAGTCTAGACAAAGAAAGATAAGAGTAATCTAGATGTACACTTAGGAGGTATTGAGATAGCTTGGCTTCCACTTGTTCCTATTCTCATCTGCAACTTCGTAGCTTTGACTTTGGAACTTGATTGGGATCTCTCATTCTCACTGCCAAGGTAGCTCTGAATCATTGGATCACAGGATGCCCAAATCTCCAATCAGTCTGGTCTATCTACTTGGGTGCAGAAAATCTCTAGAATAGATGAGTTTTTCTCTCAGTACTACCAGCAAACAATCTAGACAACTAGTCCTGTGGACCAGCCAGCAATGAACCCAAACCTCATTCTTGCAGCAGGAAAGGATGGAACCCATCGTGCCTGGCAACTGGTAGCTGGAGGACAGTACTCACGGTTCGGGGGTGTACATAGGCTTGGATCCATGTCTGATGTACTGTGTGCAGTGGAAGACTCGGAAGGCCAGGCCACCCAAGAAATCGCGAGAGGAAAGCAGGCCAGCCACAGGTCGGAGGCGGAAACCAGTGCAAGCTGGGATGCAAAGAAGAAAGAAAACTCAAAGCTCATCACCAATGAGCCAGAGGCACTAGAAGACCTTCAGATGGGGGACAATACCCATAACTGCCCAGGGACATGGGCTTTGCTGGTAGGTAGGCTTGGCTTCAGATGTCTGCATCGCCGCTTTCTAGCTGGGTGCGCTGGATCAAGTAAATTCACATCTCTGAGCCTCAGTTTCCTCATTTGCATAATGTGAATAGATACTTCTTAGGAATGTTCCAAGAATAAAAAAGCTAATGAATATAAAGTACACAGGGCCTGGAGCACTGGAAACATGCAATACATTTAGCCTTCGTGACCATTTGTTAGGGTGGAGCAATTATTCCCTACTTCTCTTGCTTCTAGTGTGAAGGGGGAAGTGGTACCTCATTTCCCAGAAGGGAAGAGTATGGAAGGAGTGCTTCTAGCTTCTGTACTGAGCCTCACACAGTCCACCCCATGAGTAGCAGTGGCCTGTCTGACTGTAGCATTTGGGAAGAGAATATGAATATTATCAATGTAACTATTTCTGTGCTGCTCTTTCTTGATTGCTCACAGAGGACCTCATTCCAGTCTGCTCTTGGCCATGCAAATGGACTATGCTCCATGAATTGGCAGGGAAGTTTGTCTAATCAAGAGGTAAAATATTAGCAAGTCCATTAGTGTGCACATCTATATCACATTCTCTAAATTGCTTTATTTTAAAACTGACCTCTGATCACCATCTCTGTGGTTCCTGTATCTGTCTCCCACTTTGTTCCAAACTTGGGAGGATAAGGACAATGACAGTGATAATGGCAATAATAGCCAGCACTGTATATTATCTACCATTTGTCAGACATTCTTTTAAGCTATTTTATATATGCTACTAATCCCCACAATAGCCCTATGAAGCAGACAGTCTTATTATGCCCACTTTACAGATGGGAAAGCTGAGACAGACATAGGTTAAAGCTTTCATTCAAGGTCACAGCCATAGGCAGTGTAGCTTCAAAGTCTGTTGTCTTAATTACTATTATGTAGCTTCCCAACTGCCAGTGTTACTGTTTATCATTCTTACTATTGGCCATGGCAATGGGAGTACTTAGCTAAAGAAGTCTTTGGGATCCCCCTGCCTCCTGCCCCCATGTTCTCTGTGTCTTCAAGTTGAAGCACACTCTGCTTAGACCCTTACTCTACTCTTTAAGAAGCAAAGAGCCTCTAATGGAAGGGACCCAAAAGGTCATCTAACTCACCCCCAATCTGTCCTGGCTGCCATGTCCCTACCTGCCAAGTAATGTCCTTGGCTCGTTGCCTCCAGCGTGGCCCACTTCTGCACAGTTCTGATATATAGAAATTCTTTAACCTGTAATCTGTCTCCCTACTTTTTCTTATTCTCTCTGACACATAGTAGGTATTCAATATGTGTTAGTTCATTGTTCTGTTTTTGCTAAATTAACATCCTCTTGGCAGAAAGAACAACACCTATTTCCCCTGGAAATGCTGTGCAGAGGCCTGTGACTCAATGTACTTACCTACTAAGCTACTCAGATTTCAATTCAGTCCAAAATTCACTGAATACCTGCTGTATATGCAGCACTGTGCTGGATGTTCTCATATGCAGCATCTTACTTCATTCTCACAATTTCCCTTTGGGAAAAGCTAATGAGTTGCCAGTGTCCATTTGACAGATGACAAAACTGAGGCAGGTTTACTCAGCTGGAGAAGTTCAAAGTCAGGATTCATACCAGTTGCACAGACTCAGAGCTCAGGGCTCTTGACACCATCCCCCAAAATAGCACATTTTTTACACAAACAAACACTACTAACCCATAACCCAGCAGGAGCTACAGGGCAAAAAACAAACAAACAAAAAGACCAGTATAGCACCTTGGGCTTTAAGTGTGAAAGAAAATACTTTTCAGGGACAGGCACACAGCAAAATCCATGGCCTCATGTGTTGGGCTGAATGAAAGTGGATAAACACAGTAGAGGCTAGAGTGAAGGCAGAGGGCAGTGAAACCGAGTTCTTCCTGGAGGAATCAACCTGCACGCATTTCTATAAAAACACGTGTTTATACCTGCTTCCGCCTACTTATCTTCCCCTTCCTTCTCCTCTGCCTCAGTCCTCCCCTTCTTTCTGCAGAGCTTTTGACCCTGATGTGGACTTACTCTGCAGGAATTGAGAAACGTCTTCCAGCTGTGGAATATTATCTTCATGGAAGCCACAGTACTTCTCAAGAAGTGGAAAAATGTGATTGTACTCATAGCAAGCATGGGTTTTATACAAGGACTTCAGAGTCTTGAACACCGTACCCCATGTTTTCTTTTCTTCCTCCGTGTATTCCACCCTAGGGATGGGCTGCCCACTAGAATACAGATACAAAATAAGAGTCTCAAGCAGGGCAGAGAGGTGCAGCAGAACACAGTTAGGTTAGCAGAGGGAGTCGGGGGCCAGAACCTATGAGCTGCCATCACTTGCTATAGTAAATTTCATATGTTATTTGAAAGAAAAAAATTCCACATCTTGATACAGGAAACATTATTGTTTTGATTTCCCACATGAAAGAGTGATTTGGCTAAGCAACGATACAAACTGTATTGAGGATTTTCTCTTACTTTGGGGAAATCACTTGGTTTTTTTGCTCTTCCAATTTTCTAATTGCTTACCTAGGGTAGAAATTCACTTACCTGCAGGGGCCAGGCAGGTATCACAAAGGTGTAAAGTGGCCGACGTAAGGCAACAAGGAGAATGGGGGCCAGCTAGAGAATGCATTCCCTTTCTAAACAAGGGCATCTAAGTCCAATTAAAGCAACATTGCGTATTTCACGGTGTCAGCTAAAGCCAAGTCTGAGATCACCTTTGTTTGGTAGGCATGCACCTACTGGGTTTGATATTTCTGCTCCTGGGAAGTTATAAAGGTATTTAAATACATGCTAAGATTCCACATTGTATACATATATCAAAACATCATGTCATACAACATAAATAAATATATAATTTCATTTATCAATTAAAAACCTAAATAAATAAATTCTAGATCAAGGATTATAAATAAATATTGGAACGAAGGAGAGAAAAATATATAAATCCATGCTAAGTTATAAAGTACCATATATCTTCTCTACACTGAGCTTGTTCAAGTACATATGCCAGGCCACAGATCCTGAATCTCTTGTGGAAAAGAAGGCTCACATATCTGGAGTCTATAAGCTCCCCAGGTGACTCTGATGCAAACTGTAGTTTAACAGTCATTAGTTTAAAAAGTCCTTTTGAAAACCACCTAGGAATGAGCCTTGTTCTGAACAGCACAAACAGATGAAAATCAAACAAAGCCTGACTTCAAAGACCAGCGACTATTCCCTAGGCTGCAGGTCTGTTTCCCTAACAGGAACACAGAGTCTGGGACAAAGTGAGACTGTTTATGTCAGAATTATGGATCATCATTGGCTCCAGATTAGGTCTTTCCTGCCCTTTCAGAGTTGTACCTCATCCAGACACATTAGATCACAGTCTTTGTTATTGTCTACAGATGGGTGACAAGGATTAGGAAAAAAGACAGCATTTTAAGCCAGACAAGCTCAGAAAGCGTTGTGGTAGCCAGCAGTGATAGTGAAAAAAAATCAGGTAGTTTTTGCCCAAGAATGCGCCATTATCAAAGCCAAGCACTGATATAGCAGACGAACAGACTTTGGAAACAGATAGAGACTATTCAATCCTTGGCCCTGCCATTCCCTGTATCAGCTAAGGCAATTTAGTAAACCTTTCCGAGCCTCAATCTGAGCAGCTGTTACATGGGCTAAAAATAAGTAACTATTTGTATAGTATAGATAAATTTAAGTCTAATACTATGTACAAAGTACCTAGTATTAATATTGACAAATCATAACAATTGGATGATTGATCACTATCATTGCTACTGCTTCTCATTTTAAAAGAAAGGCATCTGTTACTCCTGTAACAAATTTCAAGAGATGGTGACATCCTGAGCACCAAGATATTCTGTGGGTTGACACCTGTTGTTCTAGGGTCTCAACATCTGTTCCCCATTCATCAGTAAAGCACCTTTCTCCCCTCTCAGTCTGTGAGGTTCAGATGAGGAGAGACTCCACCCCTACCTTCAGAAGTGGGCATGTGACCAGGCTAAGCCGATTGAAATCTCTCATTCCCCTGCACTGTGCCTGGCTAAGAGATGGGCCTGTGTCCTAATCAGAGTCAGTGGACTCAATGACAGAACTTGGTTGACTTTCTTTGAAATAGACAGGACCTCTAACTAAGTTGGGATATCAGCCCAGAGGTACTAGGTTCCCTCTCCAAGATAAGTGAGGCCAATGTCTGAAAGCAAGGCCAAAGCAAAGGACACTAGAGTCAGAGAGAGGCAGAGAATGAGACAGTGAATCCTGGACCTGTCTGAGCTTAAACCACCTGCCTTAAACTCTTTATTTATAGGATCCAGTAAAGCTCTTCTTTATGTCTGAGTTGTTTTGTAGCTGAACAATATAAGCTCCTATGATCCATTTTATCTAATCCTAGATAAAACTTACAAGCCTAACCTCCACTCCAGTAATATCATCAAAACCTGCTGTAGCAGCCTTCTAGATGGTTCTAGACACCATTCTTGGCTCTGCCTCCAATTCACCACTTTGAGTCCTTACCTTTATATGGTCTCTTGGATTCATTCATTCAACAAATGTTAATTGAGCACTGTGACAAAACAATCAGTTGCCCCTGACCTCATAGAGTCCACATTTCCAGTAGGGAGAGACAGAAAGCCAACACAATTCGTTAGATGGTGATAAATGCTATAGAGAAACAAAGGGCAAAGGTATAGGGAGTTTCAGAGTGGGGTTTCAATTTTACTTAGGGTGTAGAGAGGGCACAAGGCTGAGAAGGTGACTTCTAAATGAAAGCCTGAGGAGAGCAGGCCTCACTGCTTCACTCTGGAGTCTTCCATTTAGCTTTCACATCACTGTTTGAGATTCTGATTCTGCTTTTCTGCAGGTTTATCCAGTTAGCACCAGTCCCTGAAGTCTAAAGCAGTGACAGCTCTATCCCCCTTGCACACTTCCTGGGGCTGCTCATCCCAAGCTTGATAGCAGTGGCTCAGTAGTCTCTGCTTTCCTGTGAAAAGCAGGAGTCTCAATTCTAACTCTGCCTCTTCCTACCTGAGTGAGACCTTGGTCAGTTTTTAAAAAGCAAGATCACGCACGAAAGCACAAAAATGTTAAAGATGTGACACTAAATAGACCATGTAAAGACAAATGTTGTCAAAATGAGAGTAGAAAAAGGTAGAGTGTTGCCTTGTTTGACCTCTGTTGGAGATACACACCTCAGTAGAATCAAATTTTTTCTCCTCCTCTGCGCAAGTCTGGGAATGACTGTGAAAGTGCACAGTGAGTACAGATTTCGGGGTCACAAATACACTGAAGCAATTAGGCAAATTCACAGTAGAGTCTCCAAAAAAATAAGGATGAACTATACCAGATCCTGAAGTAAAAGACTATTTTGAAGAAGAAAGACATGGCATCAAAATCTTAAACGAGATGAGATCAAGTAAGGTCTGAAACAGGCTTTGAATTTTAAAAAATGGTGAGCCCTTAACTAGCCACATGACCTTGGGCACATCAGTTAGTTAATCATCTGGGATTCATCTATAAAAGGTGAGAAATTGACTAAAAATTTTTAACCCATTTCTGAGAGTCCAGCCAGCTACAGATGATTTTCAATAACCAGTTTAACTGATGAACATCCAGGACTGTGAGGTAATTCATCAGTTTCACTCTTCTTCATGAGGTTTCACATTTTTATGAGAAGGAAGTTGAGGAGGACCTGTCTCTGTCCTCCCCAAATCCCAGCAACCCAGAAGGAAGTAAATGTACTTTCTAAGGACCTCCTCCTTGATGATACGAAGTGTAGTCTCCAGACACTCAGAGAAGTGGCTGCAAATACCCTTTGAGTTCAACACACCTGAGTTTAAAACCTGTGAGTGTCACACACTAGCTACATGATATTGGCAACTTACTTAACCTTTATAAGCTTTGGTTTCCCCATGTGACAAATGAGAAGTTATTATTATTAAGGCTAAACAAAATGATATATACAAAGGATTTAACAAAGCCCCCAGACATATAGCAAGAAAGTATTAAGTATGATCTGTTATTGCTGACTATCTGAAGGACTCTTGCCTGTACCCACTTTGATGGTGTCCACCTGACTGTGCTGGGGCAAAGGTGGGGTCAGGGGAGGAAGGTCACCATCTTCTGTGAATCCTGCTCAGCAGGAGCCAAGGCCCAGATGGGCTTAGATCTGACTAAGGGCAGCACAGTTTTGAATCCTTCCACTACCAGAAGTTATTCTGAAAAAAACATTCTCTTTTTCTGGAGGTTTTTCCATGTTGAAAGTAACTTTGTATTCAGTATAGAAAGGCCAATTATCTTCTCCATCTCCCTGAGATTCTATCAAAGCTGTCAAACTACTATGCCACCAGTGGTCCGGACGACTGTTATGTTTCTTCTTGTGCATGTCTTTTCTTAATCCCTTAACTCAGTAATGGTGCTTGTCCAAACACTAAGTTTCCCATGGGAGCATTTCTGTAGTTCCTTAAGACTCAAAGCACCAAAACTGTTCTCTTCTGAAACATATTTGATATTTGCATTTTCTTTTGGCTAAAATAGAGTAGGGAAGGAACATAGAATCTCAGACAGGAAAAAAAGAGAGAGAGAAAAAAAATCCTAAACTTGTCATTCACAGCTGGGTCAGACCAGATAAAAGTGGAACACTGAAGCTTGGCTGCCCTAAAATCTTGAATGATGCATTATATCAGTGAAGCAGCCAGCTCCTTCTTGAATGTAAATGATTCTCTTTTTCCTTCTTCCCTGTTTAATGTGGAGAAGACCAGAGGCTGTTTTATTCAGGACCGAGGCCTTTTATAATTGCTGCAGACACCACTGCCTAATTAGACAATAAAGCTTGGGAGAGAGCAGGGCCCCAGCACAGCGGGTAATTTTGTTTTGTCTAGCAGCAATCTTTTTCAACGTGTGTTTTGAAAGGGAGGATTTAAACACACACACATACACGCACGCATGTGCACACATGCACACACAGACGGTAGGACTAGGGGTGTGTTTTTCTCTCTTCCCCACAACAAGCAAGGCAGACTTACTGGCGGTAGTTGTAGGCAATGTCAGCAAACTGCTTCCGTCTCGCACGGTACACAGGATCTTTAAAACCCTAGGAGAAAAGAGACACCTGATTTTCAAGGCTTTGTAGAAAGTGGTCTGATACCTTTATGAATGCTTTGAATGGGGGCTCTTGAGCCACGACAGTACATGTCTCCTTCCCTTGGTTATACGCTAAAAATAAAGTCTCAGTGAAACTTAGGATAAGTTCTCCTACCAGATATTATGAGTGACACATTATCAGTAACTCCTTCAGTTTAGCATCCATCAATCCCTGCTATGGATTCCAAGGTTCATGCTCTGTTTTGTTGTTTTGTTTTGTTTTGTTTTGTTTGAGACAGAGTCTCACTCCATCACCCGGCTCCAGGCTGGAGTGCAGTGGCAGGACCTCAGCTCACTGCAACCTCTGCCTCCTGGGTTCAAGCAATTCTCCTGCCTCAGCCTCCCGAGTAGCGGGTACTACAGGCACATGCCACCACGCCCAGCTATTTTTTTTTTTTTTTGTATTTTTAGTAGAGACGGGGTTTCACCATGTTGACCAGGATGGTCTCAATCTCTTGACCTCGTGATCCGCCCGCCTCGGCTTCCCAAAGTGCTGGGATTACAGGCGTGAGCCAACTCTGTTCTTAAAGAAACCCAGTCTACAGCATATCTGACTGATACACCTGCTATATCAGGCAAATTCATAGGATGAATGTCTATGATGAAGATATACAATATCCACTTAATTCCTGTTAATTGCTGTCGAGCTCTGCTGTGGATCCCCCAAGCATTTCCCAGATAATTAAGGTACATGTCTAGCTCTGCCTTCTAATTTCTTGATAGACAACCAGTTATGTGCTTATTGCTCTTGCAATTTTTAAAAATACCATTTATTAAGTATATACTATGTGTCAGTCTGTGTGTACTAGGAAGTGATTTTACTTATAATTCTCACAATGAACTTGCAGGTTCGATCAGTATGATTATCCTGTTCTTTCCAGAATAAATGGTGGTTCAGAGAAGTGGAGCCATAGTGAAGGTGAGGCCGGGATTTGGAGCGCTGTCAGTAACTGTCAGCCTTTACAACCTGGCAGGGGCCTAGCGCACTGAGAAGTCTGTCTCAGAACCTAAAAAGGATGGTAATAGCTTCTCCTTTGAGGCTGACTCACAGGAAGCCTTTTCCTCATTTGTAAGCTCCACATTTCTGAGTGAAAACAGGCTAAGTGTGTCTTTGAGTGTTTGGCGTGGGAATGGGCTTCTAATTGATTAAAAGACAATTTTCCAGAAAAAGTTGATTGCAATCTAAATTTTGCTAAGACAAGAGACTGATGTCATTGCTGTAGAGCTCTGCCGTGGTTCCTCCAAGCCCTTCCCAGTAAGCCATGCCATCCACCACTTTAGCTCACAATTTCTCTGCTCCACTATCCCTCCAACCCAAGGCATTAATGTATTCTAAACAAAGGCTTATATCACAGAGTGTAATTTTTAAAGGTGCCTTTTAAAAAGACAAATATTGACTGGGCACGGTGACTCATGCCTGTAATCCCAGCACTTTGGGAAGCCAAGTTGGGCAGATTGCTTGAGGTCAGGAGTTCGAGACCAGCATGGCCAAAATGGTAAAACCCTGTCTCTACTAAAAATACATAAAATTAGCTGGGCGTGGTGGTGCATGCCTGTAGTCCTAGCTACTTAGGGGGCTGAGGCAGGAGAATTGCTTGAACACAGGAAGTAGAGGTTGCAGTGAGCCAAGATCGTGCCACAGCACTCCAACCTGGGTGACAGAGTGAGACTCCATCTCAAAAAAAGAAACAAAAGAGATAGAACTATTCCCTGATTTTTAGATATTGTTTTTTGTTTTGGTTGCTTGATGGGTTGAATGTTATGTTTTGGCGGAGGGTTTTGTTTTTTTTTTCCTCTCTCTCTCTCTTTGTATTAGGGCCTACCAGTAATTGTAAGGACACAGAGGGCGATGTCATATAATGCAATTTCTTCTGAGAATCTGCAGTATCAATTCTGGCACACAGAAAAACTACAGACATTTGTTGGAAGAAAGAAAGGGAGGGAGGAAAGGAGTTAGTTTGTTTCCTGGAATTTATTTTGAAGAATAGAAACATCCAAATGTTTCACACTTGAAAAGTGAAGTAAAACTATTACACATATTTTTTAAACTCCAAAGCTAAATCCAAGATAAATCATGTGATTATTCTGTTTCGAAAGATTTCATGACATGGTTATTACAAAATATAACTCTTCTTTTTCCTAGAGCACTGAATGGTTTTTAATCATTAATTACAGAGTAGAAAGCTTAGGAATCTGAGGACTTAAAACTACTGTTATGCCTCATTTCTACTGGGTGAGGATAAGTTGGTTTGAGATGATGTGGTAAAAAAACTGGGCACCATGATTTAGTTTCCAAGCATCAGTAACACACCCTTTTAGAAACCTGTCTACTGGACTAGGTGAAAAACACTTATTTGTTCGCATCTCTGTACTTTGGGCTCAAAATAAAAATGCAGTGTAGGTCAGTCATTGAGGTTTGATTGTTACAGTCATTCTCACCTGCCATTCTTATTTATTTGTTAGTAGTGAATAGCTTTCTCCAGGCCCTACAGATACTATGTAGACTTTTGACCCTGTAAGGCACCTTGGAGAAGGTCTATTTCTGTATTTTGATCTAGACTTGAAAAACACAAAGCTCTGGAGCCATTTATCTAAAGACCCTTCACTGCCGAACTAGCACCTTTATTTGGATTTCGTGGTCCTGCCTGGGATGGCAAGTTGACATCTGAGGACTGAAGTAGGAATCCAGGAAGAAAAGAGAGTTCCTTCAATCCATGGATTTCCACTTCATCATGCTATATCTAGGAATGAGATGTCCGTGAACACTTCTTACCCCCATTTGGCTTTATTGTTTATCTTTCATGTACCTTGCCTGGGTGGTTTAAAGATTTTCCACTTGTGAAAATAAAAGCTAAATGTAAAACTGTATACCTGGTTGATGTAATCAATTATGTCATATATCAATTATGTCAGAGGGAATATATAAGTATATAAATAAAATGATTAAAGAAATACACCAAACTCTAACAAATGTTACCTCCAAGTAGTGGTAAAAATAAGTAACAGTAACAGTTGTATTCTTGGAAACTTTATGCTTTTCAAGTTTTCTAATGTGACAATGGGTTTCTTTGAGAATAAGATAAAAAAGAAAATAGTATTAAACATCCATGTCAAATCATTTTAGTGAAGTAGCAGGAGACTCATACACTGCGATACAGGAACGCACGCATAGCTAACACATGATACAGATCTTCCATGTGGGAAGGTTTCTAACCATGGCCCTTTCCAGATCCTATTTTCTAAGAAGTTCATTATCAGCCTGCAAGGGGCCCCAGCAACCAGGTTGCAAGGACTTTGCTTTCGCAGTTACCAGTAGTCAGAGAGCTCTGTGGGCTGAAGCCCAGCGTCTTGGGGATTTGGCCTCACATCCCTTGGGCTACCAGATGACCACAGGGCCTTTGTGGACATCCATGTGGAGTACATTCTGAATCAAATCACAGTTGGTGATGACTGATCACCCTGTCTCAATTTAGACTAATAGCAGCAATTTCAGTAGCACTGCATATAATTTATTTATAATCACCCTGTCTCAATTAAACTAATAGCAGCAATTTTGGTTGCACTGTGTGTAACCAAGTATGTTTTGACAGGAAAATATATTGTCAGTGAAGGAGTGGTGAGGCGGAGGGAGAGAGGATGGGAGAAGACGGGAGAAAGGTGAGACAGTTCTACAGGATGCAAGTCCTGACATCGGCTGAAGTCTGCATGCAATCCCTTTTCCTAAGCTCACAAGTTTTTTTACGTGGGTGTATTGAGAGGTATAATTTGTATTGGGGGTGAGTTTTGGGGTAACTACATACATGGAAAAGTCTTGATTATACTTCTACACTAAGATATTTATTTCATCGTTTCCTAATATCACAGCTGAGGTTAAACCTCAGAAATGCTCTTTAGGCTAGTGAGAACACAGATTTTTTTTTTTTTTTTTTTTTTTTTTTTTTTTTTTTTTTTTCCAGACAGAGTCTCTCTCTGTCGCCCAGGCTGAAGTGCAGTGGTGCGATCTCAGCTCACTGCAACCTCCGCCTCCCGGGTTCAGGGGATTCTCCTGCCTCAGCCTCCCAAGTAGCAGAGACTATAGGTGCATGCCGCCACACCTGGCTAATTTTTGTATTTTTAGTAGGACGCAGATTCAACATGTTAGCTAGGATGGTCTTGATCTCCTGACCTTATGATCCAACCACCTTGGCCTCCCAAAGTGCTGAGATTACAGGAGTGAGCCACCGTGCCCGGCCAAGAACACAGATTTTAAAGTCAGAAAGGCTTTGTTGGACTACTAATTCATTCATTCACTAGGAGCATGGCCTGGGGGTGGCCAGTTTATCTCTCAGAGCCTTAGTTTCCTCCCCAGTAAAATGAGACTGTCAGTCCTACCTGCTTCACAGTGTTGTATAGTTTAAGTCAAGTAATGTCGGCAGCACATTAAGTAAAATTCTGAGCGCATCGTAGGCACTCAAAGAATGACGCATTTGTGCAAAATGGCAGGAAATCCAAAGACAAAGGAGTCTGGCTCAGAACACAGAAAGAATATACTCTGGAATGGGTTAGTGATCCCCACCACCCACCTGGGCCTTTTAAACCAACATCTACAGAATTCTTACCTTGCTATGTATATTTCAGCTGGGCCAATAACAAGAGGCTTTTTGCATTTTCCATAATGTTTCAAGACAGAAGACCAAAGATTTAAACTGGCATGTATTAAGTAACTGCCATTCCCATCCTATAGACACTGGTCAAGATGGACTTGCAGACAGTAGACCAGGGGAGTCTAATCCCTTTGCTCACCCTACAATTGGCCAAGAAGCCTATTCTGGAAAAATTTATGTACCTAGTTTTCCAAGCTCATAAGCTAAACATTATTGTTTTACTCCCCGCTTCTCTTTTCCTTCATATCCAGTAATCAATTTCTGCCCATTCTACCATTCAGACATCTGAGTCTGTCCTTCCTACTTC